GTGTGCTCTTCCGATCTCCCCAAAACCCCAAAACCCCATTAGATGAATTAAAATGTAAATCGTTGAAAGTGAGAATTAGATACGATATATTTAATCAAACTTTAAGTTTGTTCATAAATCCAAGTATTAGCGTCACTATAAAAAATACAGAAAAGGAAATCAATGTTAACAAGAATGGCCATTCATGTGCGACATTATCGTATAGATATCCACCTAACTTATTTATCAAAAGAACACCAACTGATCCGGCCAAACTATAAACACTAAATAGTGTGCCTCTAGATTCTTTCTTGACTATCTTACTCAATAGTGTTATTGTCTATAAAATCTGTAAAAAAATGGAATATCTTACTAGCATAAAAAGATGAGAATGAAGTATATAGACTCCTATTAAGCCTATATACATAGGGATGCTATTTTCATTTAAGAAAATTAACAATAGAACCGATAATATAATTACACCAGCACTTGCACTAGCTAGCAAATACCACATTCTAGTTTTATCACTTAGATAGCCTAAAACTAGACAAAATGGGACTTGCAATACATTTCCAATCAGAAATATGTATTGAATTTTAGTCTGAGCATCATTTTAGTAATCAGGATTTCCACTATTCTTTTCATTTGCTATAATCAAGAGACTTCCAAATAGAGAGCATGTTAGAGCTGTCAATTTAACACAAAATGACCCAAACATAGCTACAAAAAATCCAGCATCTTCTTTGAAAGAAACAACAAATTCTGTAATGGTTTTCCTTAATTTTTACCTAAAATGTTATGAATCTATATTTCAAATCTTACTTTAACGCTTTCTTATTTTCTCTCGATGATTTCTCTATTTAATTCATTTCTTTGATGGTGAAGATTAGGAAAATCCCAACACAAATACTGTAGGTACCAATACCTATAAATATCCATTTTATATCTTCATTTTTTTTTATTTCAAGCAGTCCAGTTGTGCTAAAAACAGCCGCAGCAGCGCTTACAATAAATTACTATAAAATAGAAGTAAAAATAAATCTAAAAATTTACATAGGCACTACCGAGTCCAAGAGATTAATCAAAGAGATAATCTGGCAGTAATGGAGTATTTAAGGCTGGTATAGTACCCAAAGACATGAATATTCTGATTATCAAAAATGAGGGGTAAATTGTTGAAAAGTAAGGAGTTATGATCAAGGATATACCAGCCACGATTAAGCCTGCAACTGTTGGTATTTTCCTGCCAAATACATCGAATATTACACCAAGGACTAAATCAAAAAGCATGACAACTATTTCTGCATAAAATCCACAATCTCCAGAAGTTTATGCAACTTGTTTATCAGGCACGTTATAGTATTCGGGTGAGCCAAGAATGAAAATCAAAAAACTTATAATGACTTAAACGATCATGATGATTGTGAATATCATCAAATAGTATGATAGTACATGAATTGGCTTTATTCCTGGCTTCATTTATAAATAAAGAAATCTCTCAGGTACTACTTCATTTGCCAGCTTTTACTCTGATAGAAAAGATGCATTTTCCTCGCTATGTATCTAATCCTTTGTAGCAGAGGAAAACTAGCTTTAGTTAAGATTTGTATCAAAATTTACTTCACTCATTAAAATATCACTCTAAGGATTTATAATTTATGTTCAGTTATAATATCTTTTACTATGAGCAATTAAATAATAGAAAGTATAAATGATTCTATTCACTCAGACCTTTTATAAATTTCATAGTCATGGGGTTTTGGGGTTTTGGGG